CTACGATTAAGGCTCTGGAAAACATAACACATTCTTATAAAAACAAGACAAAAAAACGTCGCCTGGGTATTGCCCCCTTAAAGGAGACGTTACCAAAATTGATGATTTTTTTTAGCTCCAAGACTCTTTGGCGTTAGAAAATATCTTTACAGTTTTCTGCACTGAAGTTTAATATGGCTTTATATCAAACTACTTCTTCTTTAATAAGTTTATATTAATTAACATGTCTCGAGCGTCAACTTACAAGTTTATTTTCCTTTACTTAACTGTTGACATACAACATAAAAAGAGCATAAAACTGAGACGGGCTCAACAAGTTATTTTTAGGATAATTTGGGGTGGAGGGAAAGTTATATTTTCAGAAAAGACAATGTTTAGCCTTTTCATAAATGCCTTATTCTACCATCAATGACGTCACCGGTTTGAATAAAAGCGCCAATCAGCAGCCATTGTAAAATCGTTTTCTGTGCGTCCAAAAATCTAATTACAACTTACTATTACTTTTCTTTCAAACAGAATTTACATCGAATCCTCTATATTCCTTTTGAAAAGCGAAGAAAATGATAAGTTCCCTTAAGCTTTAAAAGAAGTTCTTGAAAATGTTATTTCAACGCTAGGGAGTGCTCAATGGATTTTTCGACCAATATGGTTAAAATTTAATTATTTTTTATTACTCCTTATAAACAGTATCTTTTTGACGACTTGCCAAGTAAGAATAATATACTGTTCTCCGTATAAGTCTTCAGAGACTACGTGGGTTTTTCGATCATTAGCACTGTTATCGGTTTAGTTTAAAGTCTTAAATTAATTTAAGTATGTTGCATCAGTAGAAAGGGAACCTTTCTATGACAACTTGCCAAATAAGGAAAATCAACAGTCCTAAAAACAGTGCCAAAAACAGTGTTTTGTAAAATGATAGCCGTTCTAAAAAACCATCAGTTTTTTATACAATATGAAATGTTTGTTATTTATGAATTTCTTTGTCTGTTATGTCGCTTTAGTACTCTGGCAGGACCAATTAATGGCAAGTCTTGAAACCTCAAGCAATGCACTGTATATACCAACGTATTGGTTACTACGATTAACAATCTCTGGGGCAAACTTCGTAAAATCGGTGGATGAACTTGACAAACACTGCCAAAAGTAGTGTCTTGTAAAGTGATAGCCGTTCTAAAAACCTTCAGTTTTTTATGCAATATTAAATGTTTGTGTTTATGACTTTCTTTGTATGGTACCTCGCTTTAGTATGGCAGGGCCAATTGATGACAAGTCTTGAAACCTCAACTAATGCACTTTATACGCCAACGTATTGGTTACTACGATTAACACAGGTTGAAAAAAGGTGTTTCCGTTTCCGTTTTTGTAACGGTTATCTAACGGAAACCTGAATATCCGCAGACGGAATTGTAACGGGGAACACGTGTATCAGTCATGTTTCAGTTTCTGCGGACACGCTTAAACGCATCCCTTATACTCGCGTTTCCGTCAGGTTTACTTTTGCGGAAACGCTAACTGCCGTCATGTTTCCGCAGCCCGTAAATTCAGAGGA